TTATTGCAAATAAAAATGGTGTCGTATATGTCAGATTGTGATGGAGATAAAGGAGCTATTCATCTTAATGTGATGAAGAAAGAGAGAAAAAGTGTTGATATTAAAGTTACTAATTACAGGTGAGTTTGGTGTCTGCTGACAGTTTTACAAATAATATTTATTAACTTAGCACTGACTTAGAAAAGTACAGTAATAATAAGGTCTGTATGATTAAAAAACACACAAAAAAGAGAGAAATAATAAAAAAAAATCTTATGAACTTCTGTCAGCGACTAGAACTTGGTTCTACAGTTTTGACATAAAATGTAATAAAGGTGGTTAAATAAACATAACAAGTTAGATATCTAAAATCTACTACAATACAGATACATGGAATAATGTAAAAAAATATTAATGACCCATTAGGTGGTTTTCTCTAACGGTATTTGCTGTTTTTATAAATTTGATAAGCTCTGTTAGTAAATATTTGTTGTTTGTATTCAATATATGAATGAATTTTTCTTTGTTTGTACAGTGTTGAAAATTGTTAATTTTCTTTGGAAAATGTGAATATAACAACTCTCTTTCATCTGTGTAAAGTTTACATTTTGTGATGTAATGAATTTCATCCTCAAGTAGGTTGCATTTAGTACATTTTCTGTCTTCTGTTTTTATTTTTGGTCTTTTGTGCCTTCCCATCTCGATGTTTAGTTTATGGGCACTTAGTCTCAATTTTGCTAATAGACCAATGTTTTCTTTATTATCAAGGATTTTAATGTATGGTTCAGTATTTATATTTTTCTTCAGTAATGTATAAGTTCTTAGTTTGAATCTGGTCTTTGATTATCTTGGTTCCATTTATAATTGTAATATTCATTCACTTTTTGTTTAAACTGGTCTTTTTTAATTGTTTCTAAATTCTTAATATCATACAGCTGTTTTATTTTATGCAGATTCATTAACCATGTGTCATTATATTTGTTTTGTTGTTGATCTTTTATTGCATCATATACTAGACTGATTGGGCCATTCTTAATAATATTTTGGTAGTATATAATTGCATTCAGTTGTATTTTTGCTAGTAATGGTAGTCGTCCAATTTCCATTCTACTACCAATGTTACTTGTTCTGTTATTAACATTTAATAATCGTCTACAGAACATTAAATGGTGTTTTTCTGTACACGTTTTGTCCCAGTACCCTGGTCTGCTATTGATTCCCCAAATTTCTGCAGCATAAGTTAAAATTGGTGTCTGGATTCCCTCAAATAATTTCAATTGTAAAAGCATGTTTAACTTGTTTGATGTTAATACTGGTTTGATTGCTGCATCAGCTTTTTTTGCTTTATCTACCAATCTTTCCATGGTCATGTTCATTTCCCCATTTGTATTAAATGTTACCCGTAGATATGTGAATTGGTTTGTTTTTTCAATCGTGTTTAGCCCATATGAGAATTCTGTATTTTTTGATTTATGACCATTTTTTGTGAAAATCATAATTTTTGTTTTTCTCATATTCAACTGTAAACCCCATTGTTTTGTATATTCATAAAGTGTGTCTAATGACCTTTGTAAGTCTTCTTTGTTAATAGCTGTTAGAACAATATCATCAGCGAATAGAAGTGAAGAGATGTTTTGACTATTTAGGTTTGGACTAATCATTGTACAGTTATCAATGTTGGCTACCAAGTCGTTTATAAAAATGTTAAATAATGTTGGGCTTAATGGACACCCTTGTTTGACACCTTCTTGCATTTTAAAGCTCTTGGTCACTTTGTCATCTAATTTAATTTTGAATTGCATATTCATATACATATGTTTTAGGACTCGATATGCACCACCACATATGTTGTTTTGTAATAATTTTATGAATAGTCGCTCTCTCCAAACTTTATCAAAACATTTTTTTAAGTCTATAAAGCAAGTGTAAAGCTTTTTGTTTTTTGATTGGTATTTTTTGATCAGTGTATGTAATGTCAGTATATGATCAGTTGTTCTGTGATTGCGTCTAAAGCCGGCTTGGTTTTTATGGATTATGTTGCTGGTTTCAAGATGTTGTGTTATGCGTTTATTTAAAATTATTGCAAATAATTTTCCAATTGTGTTACTTGTTGATATGCCTCTGTAATTGGCCGGATCATATTTGTCTTCCTTTTTATGTACTGGTGTGATTATATTTGTGTTCCAACAATCTGGATATTCTCCCCTTTGTAAAATGATATTAAAAATCTTTTGTAATGCTTCTGCTATTAATGGATGACTATGCTTTAGCATTTCAGATGGGATGCCATCAATTCCAACTGATTTTCTTGTTTTTATCTTGTTTTTTTCTTTAAGTGATATTTCAGCGTTCAACATATTATTTAGGAAATTCATATTTTCTAATTGCCTTAATAGTTTCTGTATTTCTGATTGTCTCTTTTCTGAAGTACTAGTATTTTGACTGATATTCTGGAAATGGTTTATCCAATCATTGTATGGTATTTCAGACACAATGCTGTCTTGTTTTCTCTTTGTGTATTGTCTTATTACCTCCCAAAATTTCACTGTATTTTCTTCATTATCTAGGTTGTCTAATTTTTGTTTCATCATTTGCCATCTTTCCTTTTGAAGTGTTTTGACATATTTTCTGAATAGTTTTCTTTCTTCATGATATACTTTTCTCAAGTTTTCATCATAAGGTCTCTGTTGTATGTGCTTGGCAAGAGTTTCTAGTTGTTTCTTCATTTTCATACAGTTTGAGTCAGTGCATTTTACTTTACTTTTCTTAATGTTTTTTCTGTGTTTTGTCTTTTTTATGTTACATTTTTTGGCAATGTTTTCTAATACATTTTGAAATTTTTGGGTTATCTCATTTACATGTTTTTTTGTAAAATCAGTTTCTGTAAATGACTTTATTAATTGTTCACCTTCTTTTGTTTTTAAAAATATCTTGTAAATATCTGTTGCTGACTTCGTCCATTTATAGCTTCCTGGGTGATTTTGCAGGTTTTTGTTTATGTTAAACTCTGTTTCTGTAAATGTTGGCATTTTTATTGTTGTTGATATAGGACAGTGGTCACTTCCTGGTACTAATGTTTTGACTTTAAAGTTCAAAATATATTTACTTAATCTATTGTCAGCTAGAAAGTAATCAACAGTGCTAGCACCTCCATTGTCCGCATGACAAGTAAAGTGACCAAGTATGTCACCATTATATCTACCATTCAATATATGTAGTTGATTACTTTTACATAGTTGGATAAGGTGATCTCCAAATGTATTTTTCCTTGTGTCCATATTGTTTCTCTTTTTCATATCATTATCATAAATATAATTGTATGGCATTGGAGTATAATTGTCCTCATCATCTGTTATTGTGTCAATTATTTTTTTTGTTCTGACATTAAAATCGCCTTGTATCATTATTGCACCTTTCTCTTTGTAATTTTGTATTTCTTGTTCAATAGCCTGGTAAGGGTTCATGTCTATGTTATTCACATACCACGAGGAATCAGCTGGTGGGACATACACCGTGCATAAATAAATATCTCTTATAAGATTAAAATATTTTTTGTTAAGTTTTAACCATTGTGTAAAATCACTAGAGTTCTGTATCACAGTAATACCAGGTCTTATTGATTTCTTTATATACATGCTTATACCACCAGAGTTTTTCCATGCTTTACTATGTTGCCTGCGAATTTTGTGATGAACATAGTATTCTTCTGGTGTTGGAATTAAATCAATTGATTTCTGGTCAAGCCATGTTTCTGTAAAGGCATAGATGTGATAATTTTGAATACATTTCTCAATATTGATTAACTGTTTTGTTTTAGTGTCTACGTTTTGTGATATTTTTGGAACGTAATTATAACGTAATCCTTGTGAGTTCCAGTGTCCAATTGTCATTATGTTTTGTGTAATAACATTTTTCTTATATTTATTTCCTTTCATGGTTTTGTGCATTTTACCATTATTGTGTACCACTGCCTCTTGACCTGAGTTGTGCTAGTTGTTTTTCTAGGTTTTTTAACGACGCAAGTATAGTCACATTGAGGTGTTTAGTATCGTCTGCGTCCTGTGTAATCTGTGTATCATTTTCTTTGTTGTCATGTCTTTGTTGCTGGTATTCATTTCTCTGTTTTCTGCTGATGGTACTCTTTAGTACTGAAGCATAAGTATCGGTAGGTTGGTTTGATGCATTCTTGTTGTAGTTTGTATGTCTAGTTAGATTTGTTTGAAATCCCCATGTATTATTTTGCATATTTCTTCTTGTTTGTGGACGTGCTTCTAATGGAGAGAAATAATTTATTGCAGATTTGATGTTATTAATGAACAGCTTTACACCCTCATTGTGGTTGATATGTATGCCATCATTCCTAAGATTACGTAGTTGTATGTTATTCTTACTGACTCTGTGGATATCTTTCTTGCTATCTTTGGTTTTAATCTTGTCAATCAACATATCCATATGTCTCTTGTTATTTTCCAGCCAGTGTCTTCTTGGAAATATCTCGCATAAGAACAGGACTATATTTGGAATTTTCTGCTTTATAATGAAGATAAGATCTTCATAGTTTTTCCAGATATCGTCACTGCTAGTTCTATCATTACCAGCAATATTAAGTGTTAATGTTTTTATAGTTGTTGGGAATTCATTTTCTAATATTGCCTGTCTTATGGTATCTATAGTAGCACCACTGTACGTTAACACCATTTGATTCTTTGCTAAATATCTGTTATGTATAGAGGATGACTGAGAATCACTCATAATAAGATGTTGTACCCCGTTTGGTATTTTCCTGGGTTGACGTTGTTTTCTGACATACTGTAACATTAATGGTTCCTTAGTTGTTTTCTTTGATGTATAACTAGTGTCTTTTTGCTCTGTTGATTGATGGGATGGCTGATTGGTTTCATCTACAACTGTTACCAACTTTTCATTATTTTTAACTGTTTCACCAACTTTATCTATTTGTTCCACTACAACTTCACATATCTTTTTTCCCATTTTCTGAAAGTTGTTTTCATTTGTGTAGCTGCTTTTTGTTTGTTTGTCCATTTCTTTCTTTAGTCTGTTTATTTCTGAGTCCTTACTTTTGATAATTTCTTTCATTTGATCTGTTTCAATAGTCATTGAGTTGTTTTCAATAATTGTGTTATTTATCTTTACTTGCATCTTTTCTATGGTGTCTTGTTTCTCTCTAAGTTGCATCTTTATTTCTTGTATTTCTTCATCTTTATGTTTTATTTCCTTCTGGAGTATTTTCACATCTACTGGAATATTGTATTTTGTTGCAGTAGCTGAGGCTAATTTATGAAGAAGTTGATTGAAAGTGTCAGTAATTTTGGTATCCATGTTTGAAAACATTGAGATTTGCTGATGATGATTATCTTCAATTAGTTCAACAAGTTGCTGATTATCAATGGCTTGTATCTTTGGTGGTTGTTTTGGTGACGTAGATGTTTCCCCATTTATCATTCTTACTGGTATTTTGCTGGGAGTATCTTCTTTAACAAATAGTAAATGGGTAGATTTGTTTTGGGTGGGAGTTAACGGATTGGTGTATACTTTCACAACTTCATTCACTACTTGTTGGCTGGTATCGCTATTTTCGATGTGACCATTTGACTGTGGTCTGTCTGCTGTTTTTTCATCAGTATCTGTTTTTTCATCAGTATCTGCGGTGTCATCTTATCTGTATTTTATGGGTTTTCTAGTGTTTCTCTTTGGGTTTCTTCTTGTTGTTTCGGCTGTTTCTTTATTAGACACTTCAATATTCAGTTGTAATTCCTGTTGAATGCCTTTCATTAATATTTTCCCTTCATTCATTACCCATCTGTGGTATGAATTGCCTTGTATTAAAAGTGTTCCATTATTGTATACTTTGATAGTTACTGTGTGGCCATTACTACTTGTGAGTCTTAGCTGTACACTCTTTTCATCTGATTTTTGTTCATAAGATAGTTTAGTTCTCAGATATGTATTCTTTAACAGAAATCCATAGGTCTGTGTAGCACTTATTTGAAGTCAGTGTAACTGATTGTTTGTTGATTTTATCTCATGTGTTACC